TTCCGATTTAAGATGAGATTCCGCGGATTTTCCGCTCTTCGTCTCATTCCCGGGGACGTTTGCTCCCACATTTCTCGCTCGGTATCCATAGAGAAATTTAACATCGCTTGAATACCCCAAAAGAAGAAGGCATCGTCTCGTTCTTATCGTTACGCCGACACGTGAGCGAGGTGGCGGATCGAGGAGGGGAAGGAATGCCGATATAACGGAAGTGCCGACGACGACGTCGTAGTCGGTCATCGAAGGAACGAGCTCGTCGCTCGCGAATCGCTCGTGAGGTGGGGAACGATAGCCGTCGATCACGAGAAGTCCGGTCGCAAGCATTCTAACTCCGGGGAGGAGGAGGAGGATACCGATGATTCAACAACGTGTAGCGAATTTATCGTGCGTGCAGATCATCTAGGAGAAAAAAAAAGCGTCGCAGAAAAATCGTCTAAGGCGCGAGTAGTGCGAGAGAGGAAGAAAGAGAGAGAAAGAAAAAGATGTAGTAAAAGGTGTGGTAAAAAGCGTCTCACGTTATATACATAGTCTTCGTAGTGCGTCTCGTAGGCCTTGGAAGTCCCCGAGAAAGGAAATTTCCTCGAGCCGGCGCGCCGGCCTCTCGCGATCGTCTTCGCCGCGCGCGGCTCGCGCGATCGCGAGCTCGCGCACCGGCGTTCCCTCTCCATTAGCGCGCGATACGCCGATATTGGGGTTGCCGGGTTTGGTTCTATCGTTCCTTCAGGACCAATTATCGTAAACGATTGTATCGGTAGCGCGTGGCCTCGTTACTCCACAGTATTGTACCGAAGCCACCTTTAACGGGATGATATATACGTGATTTAAATATAATTGCATTGTTGAAGAAGAACGAGGCGAGGAAACGGCGTCGACCGGTCCGGACTCGTTCGTTACCGTTGACATCCGACCGGCGAGCCTTGAGGATTAGTGAACTTGAAGAAACGGGAATTAGCAGGTTGACGTTCGGCGACTTTCGAATCGATCTCGACGAGCAATTAAGCGCGAGGATTAACTGTCCAATCGACCGACGTGGTGCTTAAATGTTACTTGCTTCAGGCGTTTTATAAGTTTTTATAAGTTTATACACTCGCGAGTATATCGTAAGTTCGTCATTGAATTGTTGAAAATAAATATATTCGGGATCTTGGTAAGTTTAGTACTTCGATCGGGAGTATTAATCGAAACGAAACTTCAGCTTATTCAAATTATTCCGTTTGTTCAAATTAATTGAATTCAATTTTTCTTCGAATGAAGTTTATAATATTCTTGAGAGGAAATAAATTCTTGCTCCGAGTATGTGATAATGGTAGGGTTGCCACACAGATTTGGGAAACCGATGACTACATTTTGAGACTATTGTATCAAGAAGAGATAGCCTTTATTGAAGATAATTGTAATACTTGGAAAGAAGGAAAGTCAAGTGAATGATCGCTTTTCTCTACCCAGTAGAAATAGAATACTTTTCTCTGCGCAGGGGTCGCGCGTTTTTCCCCCAATTTCGCTTCAGCCCGCCTTGATTGATCGATTTCTCGAGGAAGTCGTGTTCACTGTTCCCCCGATCGAACGGATGTAAAAGCGCACGGTCTTGCTAAGTGTAAGGCCGGCCACTTTTACGATTCCGCTTCGTAATTCCGAGCGCGCGCGAGCCTCTCGCACGTTGCGCGATTTTACGTGCTCGCGCGCCGGAAGCGCGCGGGAAGTTTATTAGGCTATTATTGAGACGGGCCACGTAACACTCTTAATGCTCCTCCTCGTCACTCTCGGAACGATTCCTTCGTCGCTTTTTCCCGAACGATTTCCGTGCGTCGCGCGTGCCAACGGAACCGACGTACGACGTTTTCGCCGGTCGACGCCGTTGCTCGCGAGAGAGTTGAGAATCTAACTAAAAACAGATCCGTCCTCTTCGGCCGCCTACCTCGCATCCGAGAGACCAATTTCGCGCGTAACGATCGAACGAGTATTGCGTGTTCAAGCCTTGAAGAAATGAAGAAGGGAAAGACAGGGAGGAAAGAGAGAGAAAAAGAGAGAAAAAGAGAGAGAAAGAGAAAGAGAGAAAGAGAGCACGAGGGGTGGCCGAAGGGAACGGGATCCGATAAGAAGAACCATGTACGTCCTATATGTACAATGTTGCCCATCGTATTGGCATCGTCTCATCGATATCGATTATTACCATGTATCATTTAATGAGTAACGTATTCATTAGAGGCAAGTAAAACGAGTCGATTGTCATCGTGTACGAAGTAAATAGGAAGTAAGCGAGCGCACCGTGTAGTATGATAGCATGTAGATCGTGTGTGTGTGTGTGTGTGTGTGTGTGAGCGTGCGTGTATCTGTGTGCGTGTATGTGTGCACGTGTATGTGTGTGTACGTATGTGCCGACTTCGGGGATCGAAATGCAGGACGAGCATGCGAATCGTTGATGAGCCGCGTTCGATCCATCCGAGCGGGCTCGTGGAACTTACGTGGACGACACGCGGAAGAATCACATCTGCGACCGCGCGGAATACAAAGCTACTCACACAAGTGTTGATTTGCTGTTTTGATTGCTATTGATTTTCGATACACTTCTTCGATACACTTCTCAGTCGTCTCAGCTGCGTTCGTCGTTATGCTCCCTCGCTGTAGTCGTCTCGTTGATGACGTTCAGAAGCGAGGAAACTCAGGCAAATAAAAAGATATACCCGCAATATGACACTTGTGGTCGATTCGGCAAACTTGCGGAATATTCCGGAAACTTTCCTCCTGCTGTAACGATCGATAATCGTGAAATTAATATGATACCAGGTGCGTTCAGCGTTCACAACCCGGTTCAGAAGCGCAACTTGTTGAATTGACATCGACGTCGATTCGACTTGTCACTTCTGGCTGGGAACGGTTGCGCAACTGTTGAGTAAAAATGAACTCTGACTGGTGTAAATACTTCTGGATCTACCAGTCACACTCGTCTTCCAAGAGACGACCATTCAGTTATCGTGTTCGAATAAAATACGTGTTACAATATAAAGGCCGTGCAACGGCCTACGGTAGTGCAAAGTATACAGTAAGACGTAAGTTAATTGACCAATTGGATTCTTGCACTCCAAGAACAATCGACTGTGGTTAGATCGACTCACGTCTTACTGTATACTTTACACTGTTGCAGAACTTGCCTTAATCCATCCTTCGTCGTGATTTCATCACGTTAATTTTCGGGCTATTTATTGATCGTTCGAACGAAAGGGTAGCGTTCGGAATATTTTTTTTTCAAAGGTACGCCGAATCGATCGATAAGTATCATTTTGCGGATAGATTCTTTATCCGGAAGCATACTGCAAGAATTCCAGGCACGGATTCCCTCGCTTCTGACTCCACGAAACAGAATGGCCGCAGCAAGGACGCGGGAGCTTTAATCTTAACCGCTATTTCTAAACAACAATGGGCGCTACGTATGACTCCGCACGTCGGCGCACTTTTCACGAGCTGCTTGAGGCAGGAAATCATGAAGTGTTTCCACGACGCGTTTCGGTCGAACGTGTCTCACGGCGTTTGCGTTTTGTCCGCGCACTGAGCATCGTATTTCGCGAACGGTGCACGCTCGTCAGAAGCTCGTGGGTTCAGCTTCGGGTCAAAATCCTCAAAATCCCGTCGTACGTCCGTTCAGCTTCGATGAGGGGTGATCAATGGCTGCGTCCAAGAAACACAACAATTGAACGAGGACGCTCTTACTGTCACTAGAGTATTCCTTTGGACTTACCTTGTGAATCTTAAAAAATATACAAAAAAAAGAATAGCCTTAAATCGAGAATGGATATTCTCATATGTAAGCAGGAATATTAAAATCTTTTTGGGAAATTTTCAATCTTGAATTGAGTTTGAAGTAGTACTCGCTTCGATACAAATTCAATCGAATCACGACTTAAAATTTTGTAAACGAATTGTAATATTTTTGCTTATATGTGAGATTATCTATTCTTGATTTAAGACTAATTTTTGCTTCTGTGTACCTCAATTAAAAGCGAACGTTTGTGCAACCGTTGTGCTTTCTGAACGAGTCCATTGTGAGATGGGCGACTTTCGAGTGCGAACCGTTCGCCGAATAGCTGCGATTCCGCGAGTGTTTCGAGTGCATCTAGAATGAAAGAAGTGGAAGGAAAGAGAGGAAGAGAGAGAGAGAGAGAGAGAGAGAGAGCAGAGGGTAAAAAGGCGGATCTCTGTTTAATAATCGATATACGTCAGCGTTAAATCCGTTCATGCACATGTATGCCGATTCGAACAGCACGAAGTAGCGCACGAAGAAAAATGTAAATAAAAGCGGAACACACGAAGAGTATTTGTAAAGCTGTAGTTCTTAGTCTGGAAGTAACGTCCTCGACGTGATTGACGAAGTATCAGAACCCGTAACCGTGACCCAACATGGGATTTTTACTCTTCTTTCGTTTTGCTTTTTTCTTCACGCCACAGTAGCCACGAGAACGAGATGAATTAACTCGACTCGATGATTTCGACGTGTCTTGCGAAACAATCATGAGCCTTGCGACTTGAGACCGAGACATGTAACTTTCTCTCGCTGTCAACCGAAAGAAGGAAAATATCAAATACAGCTTAACGTTATTACCGTTGCGTTAAATCGCGTTAAATGTTAGAGTTTAACGTTCCTAAAGTTGGAAAGTGTCGAGAGAGAAAAAAAACTACCGAACGAGTCGACCGAATTTTCATTTGTCATGCGCTGAATAAGTGTATAATGAGCAGGCGGAAATACCGTCACTCGGCGGTCCGCCGGTGGAATTCTCTTCGGGAAAACCTCGCGTTAAGGAAACGTGTTTTCAAGAATATGAGCAGTCGCGGGCCGTTGGTCAGCTTAATATTCATTATCATCTAACAAGCGTTATTGCCCTCTCTCGATAATAAATATATATTAGACCGATCATCGGCCGGCGATCCTCAAAGCGCACTTTCTTGCGCGATCCACAATCACGATGTTCGTGACCGGTTGAACGGAACTTCACGCTGTTAACCGTTCGTTGATCGCTGGAAAATCCAGCCGATGCGGACGGTCGTTTTCTCTCTCGAAATTCCCTGCCGATCTTGTCGGGACGATTCGTTTTGAGTTTTACCTCCCCCCCCCCACCCCTTGCATCATCATCACGCCGTCATCATCGCGCGAAACGTGAATCCTTGCACTGATGTTCAATTTCGGCGACGAACGATAAGTTATAACCAGAGGGAATTGGGATACTGTCCACTTTTTACGGTAGATTATCGTGTTCCTTAAGTGACACCTGGTTTTCTAGTTATTTCGAGCTAAACGCGGACGATGCTCGCGAGAGCCGCTCGCGGAATCTCCCTCGAAATCTCAGGAGAGAAAAGACCGAATTCACGAAAGGAAAAGGAAGGAAATCGAACGCGTTTTCGCCTACCTGTGCAGGCGTACACGTGTACACGTGTACATTCGTACGCGCGGACCGACGACGTCGAGAGCACCGTCCGTATACAGGATCGTACACCCGCACCTGAGAGATAGAACCCACGCAAATTCAAGAGAAAGAGAGAGAGAGAGAGAGAGCTATCGAGGTAGGATAAGAACAAAAGCTCGAGGCCGTCGAGGAGCCTCCGATTTGAAGCGTAGATGTATCGACGAACTTGTAATCATTCCATTGCATATTATACATATTATTAAGGACTAGCGCGGCAGTGTATTGTAAATCCATAGAAGTTATTACCATACCGTAATATTATTATGTAATAAATATTGTTGTTAACATAAACATGGCCTCATGTTGTGGCGATCGACACACATCCGTGTGCGATTTGCTGAGAGAAAGAGAGAGAGAGAGAGAGAAGTGGTGGATGGGTCGTGAAGTAAGTAAAGCAAATCCCGGACCTCTGCGAGCGACATTTGTATTCGAAAAGTCTCTTTACAGGTCGAGAGCATTTTTCGCTGCGCAAATCGTGGCTCTTTAAATTAAATTAGTTGTACCTCGCAGGTTACGTGAGCTAAATTACGTATAAAAACGAGAAATCTACGTTAGGATATAGTATTTGTAACGTTACACGCCGAAGGAGCGGAGGAAGATGTCGGGGAGGCTGAGAGGTTCCCGGTGTCGGCGACGAAAGTGCGAAGGAACGACGATCCCTCCTTATGTTTATCGAAATAAATTATTTTTCCTCCGCCATCGAGATAACGTCGCGAGCGTCGGCTGCTCGTCGCTGAATACAAACTTGCGACACACGTTTGCGACCTTCATCCGTTCGTTATTGCGCGAATTAATATTGACTGAGTCCGCCTTTCCGCGATTTCTCTCGGGAGATGACGAGAGATGCCGTTTCGTCGAGCCGTGAATATATTTGAAAGATCACGAGCGAGCGCCGGCCACAGCCGCGCGAACACTTGAAATATATAATGGCGCGAATATAAATTCCCGCGGTGTCGGCGAGAGAAGTGCGGCAGGTGAAAGTGTTACGTGGACGCGTGTCGAACTGGCTGATCAGACGCGTCTACGAACGCGAACTACACACGCGATGAATTGCTATCGTTGCTTTTCGTCGTCGCGATTCGAAGGAGATCGGTAAGAGCGCTTTTCCCGCGCGAGGAAGACGCGAGCAAATTCTGCGAAGTGGCGCGAAGCTGTGAAGAGGAAACTCTCTCCCTCGCGGCGACGATGCGTGACGCATAGCTCTAACGCTACTATTCTATGATTATGTTGATCAGTTGCTTCAACAGGCTTAATACTGGCGGGAGGACGATCGCTTCCGACTTGTCCGTCGCTGGCTTTTTTCGGGCAGTCCTCGGGCGTACGGTTTGTGTGCGTTTGTTGACAGATAGAAGATGCCGCGTGCCCTGTTGAGTTGATCACACGTCAATGAAATTCAACGACTACTCGTGCCTCCGACTTTGAACTTTCCGAACGTGCGGGTCTTCTCTAGAAGCAATCGAGCGGCGAAACGCCGGGTATACGAAAAGTGATCTCATCGTAGAAATAAATCGATAAATTAAGTAATATCCGTGTTAATCTAAGCACGTAAAATTTCTTTCGCTCGACGGTCCGGACATTTGTGCAAACGTCTTCACCTATCGAGAAAATTGACATTTATAATGTGTATTTATTTCGAGATACGAACAATCAGAAAGATTCACGAGAATTCCGACTTAGTAAATATTTCCGGTTTTATTGAAGCTTTACTCACGTATGAGGGGAGTCCTCCCCCATTAAGATGTACTCCTCTCTCTTGGGATTGCACCATCCGATCAGGTAAGAGAACAGATTCGCGCACGGGGCCGCCCAGAATCCCTTCTTCGTCGTGATCGACTCTATGTAATACGGCGTCACCTTCGTGTGATCGCACGAGAGCGTCTCTGAGGTGGGGAAGTTCGTTTGGCGCACCGAGAAAGAAGGGAAAAACAGAGAGACCTATCTTTATCACCCTCGTCGAATATACGTCCCCACGCGTCACTCGGTTCTACTCGATTCCCGGTTTGTTTCGCCCTCCCTCCCTCCCGGAGCGAGATCGTTCGTACTACTTACGGAGTATAGAAGAAGTGGCGCACCCGGGCTGACTCGAGCCACCGTTCACGTAGAAGTCCGCGTGGCCGTTGGGCCCCCACTGCCCCAGGATCCCGGCGCCCGTGTGGATCACGTCCACAAAATGGGCATCGGTCTCGTCTAAATCCATCGAGCGGTTGCCGTTCATGTAGAAAAATATCGTCGGATCGAGGCCTGCGTGTCGCACGTAGAGGAAGAGCAGGTGAGTTATCATCTCCGAGCGTTTCAGCGCAAAGCGACAACGCGTCCCGCTGTCGTGTCGCGTTAACGTGGTAGAAAAAAGCCCGCGGGAACGCGAATCGCGAGATCGCCGTACGAGCAATTACCCGTGATTCGCCCGAGTCTGTCATCGGGCAGGTAATTCGCGATGAGTCCGGCGATATGCGCGCCCACGCTGTAACCGAGCACGTGTATGTTCTCCACCCGGGTGCCTCGGGGATGATCCCTCAGGTACTTCACCAGCTGGGCGACGCATTGCGAGCAGAAGTCCGGGCCCCACTGGATCTGCCCGAGACAGGGCTCGCGTACCAACGAGCCGTAATCCACGATTATGATATTGTAATCGCCCCGCGTGAAATACGCTGAAATCGAAGGTGCGTTACGGCGCGCCGGTGACTCCCATGATCGTTCCCACTCCCCCCTTTTATTCCCCCCTCTCCCCCGGTCTTTCTCTGGGTTAAGTCTAAGTGTTGTACGAGCTCGGTGCGAGCAATACAATCATTTCGTTTGCTACTTCGCAAGTCTTAACGATCGGAAGTCTTATCGCACGGAAAAAAATGAGTATCAATAAAAATTCATATTCTCGAATATAAGAGTATAAGAATATGTGAAGATAAAATTTGCTCTTACATAAAAAAATTTTATGTAATTTCGTTAATAACGTATTCGTGTGTCATTTAAAAGTTATTTTTTTGAATTGAGAAAAAAAATTGGATAGAAAGGACGATATCTTCGAAAATTGTGTCAATATGAAGATATCTCGTTCTTCCTATTCAATATTTTTTTCTTTCGATTCGCGATAATTATTGTTCGACAACAAGGATACGATGTTTTTAGCGGAACTAGATAGAATTGTTTTATATAAGCAAATTTATATAATACTTATTTATATAAGCAAATTATTTTCATATAAAATTATGCATTCTTACTTATATATGAGAATATAAGTCTTGAATTAATTATCAATTTTGTTCCGCATAGAGAGAACGAAATTAGCTTACGAGAAGCTTACGAGAAGTAAATTAGTAAATTGCAAATTTTAAGCTCTGACTCTCCAACTCCGTTTGATTATTTTTATCATACCGCTCATCGCTCCGATTATCACAATTGTCCACCTCTCCATATAAATAAATAAAAATTATGTTCTTACAGACTTGAAGCGGCGTATTATTTAAATGCGGAGAAACCCGTCGATTTTACCATTTCGCAGGTTCGTGCTGGGCGCCAAGTCTCGTCCACCGCCGAAGCCGTGAATGATGATCTTCGTCGGATGAGTCTTATTGAATTTGGAGTACCGGAGGGAATTGTAGTTCCGCACGTTCAACAGTAATGGGTCTTGCTGCGTTTCTCTGAAATCGAGAGAAAGAGAGAGAGAGAGACACCTTGTCTCGTAAAGCGACACAGAAAAAAGCGCATTCTTTTTCGCTGGTCTCATTCGTTTCACGCGCGCCTGCCGCCTTTGCTACGTAAATATAGACGATAGTGAGAGCGTTCGAGAACGTAGGAGTGACGATACTATAGCAGCGAGAGAAAGGTGAGCCTTGAAAGGAGGCCACTTTCAGTACAGGATGAAGTGATCATGATCTTGAAATCGAGAGTTGCGACGTTGACCGTTTCCTCGTAAAGTTCGTCCTTCGAGAGAAACGAGGGAATTTCGACAAATTATATCTTAATCCAGACAGCGTAATATCCAAAATTAGGACATAAGACGACTTTGAACATCTCTAAGACATTTTAAAGATGTCTTAAAGATATTTTCAGTTCCGATTTTAGATATTCTGTTGTTCGTAAATATACAATATTTCCGCCAGCGATTCCGGAGTGAATAAATCAACCACCGATCTCATTTTCGCGTAAAATACGGTGAGAGAAAGGCAGATCCCATTAAAATTAAGATTGACGTTAATGTTCTCGCGAGAATGTAGTTTTCGTAGAAACCCAGTCTTCACAAATTGTGTCGCAATCAAAGGTTGAGTTACTTGGAACAATTTATGTGACACCTGGAAAAGAACCTACCTGGTATACAGGTAGAACTCGATCTGCGGATGCGGGCAGGTGTACGGCGGTTTGGCGCAAGACGTACTGTTGAAGAGATCCTTCAGGGTCTTATTTTGTGCCGCCATATGGCCTGCAAAACGAATCGACCAACTTAATCCTCTTTTCACTTTCGAGTGAATCAAAGCGTTCAATTAATCGTTTATTATTAGATAATCACAGTCGCATAATGACGGTTACGCGTCTCGGTGAGCGAGAAATTATCGGACCGTTAGATGAAACCAGGTGAAGGTCGACACATGCCGTGATTTCATTAATTTGTCACTCGCCGGTGCTATAATCGCAGAATGCGATATTAAAAATGCCAAGGTGTTCCAGGTTACTCGAGCCTTCCTTCTACTTTTCGATTTTTCTTCTGGGTGGGTTCGGAGACTTGAATCTCGTTCTCAACGTTCAAAGCAAATTAGCCTACCCCGTCTTACGAGAACCTCTCGTATAATAAGTGGCTCTCTCTTTAAGTTATCTTCTTTAAATACATTGAAAATCTAAAAGCCGTCGCGAGCAGGCGTTACGAGATCGCGTATTCTCGATTCAAGAAACGACTCAAGCCGGCCGTCTTCGGCGCCGAGTTTGAATTTGTAAAGGAATCATGGCGGAAAAGGTCGCACTCGCTTCAACACGGCCGGCGAAACGACGTTACTGATAACATTGCCGCGAGAGAAGCATGAAGCGAACACCGTCAAGTACACAATGAAAGCGAATTAAAAATGGACCGTCACAAACGATAATACGGAACAAAAGTGAGGAAGAAATCTCAGCTGGATACGTATCGGAGAGAAAAAGACTACGTTTCAAGGGGAAAACGTTCAAGACTTCTCACAGCGCCGACAAGCACCGTTTCACCGTTTCAGCACACAACATCACGGCGCTCCGTCACGTTGAGAGACGCCGCTCTCATTTTCCAACCGCGTTTTTCCGACCGAGACGGACGAATCCGTCGCGCACTTATAAAGAGCGTCTCTCTCTCTCTTTCTCGCTCGACTTATTTCACCTCTCGTCTTCGTTCCACCCTCTCTCCCCGAGCTCCTCTTGCCGAGGGGTCGATCGGGCGAGATAAATCGATTCATCGCGAACGGCGCGCAGTCCCGCGAAATCCCGGGAATTCAAACGCGAATAGAGGAAAGAGGCCGAACGAGGAAGAGCTGAATCGTCGGCCGGGAAGCCGAGCCGACGGTACTTACGGTACTGCAGCAGGACGCAGAGAACGAGCGCGAGGTGTCTCACGGCACTGACCGCCATCTCCCGCGATCCCGTGGTTTGTGATATAACATCCAGGCACGCGTTCGCGAAAAACCGCGGCGGACGCGATTCCCGCCGCGGCGCGGCCGATTGCAAAATGCAAAGTCATCGGGGGATATATACGTCCGCGGGGGAATTTAGAAAGTAACGACGGACGGGACGGCCGCTCTTCTCGCTCCTCGTCGCGTCTCGTTGGCGCTTTTTTCCCCGCTTACGCGCGTGTCGCGTCACCGCCACATTCATTAACCCATTGGCTGCCACGATCCCCATTTGGTGATAATAATTTGAATATTATTATACCGTTACACAACTTTTTGTGCATATACATAACTTATCCGGCCAAAAATTTCAAAAACAAATTTGGCAGTTAATGGGTCAGTAGACGCGACCGGATCCACCGCGATCCGCGATGTTCGATCGCACGCTCAACCTCGCGAGACGCCGGAGAACGTTAGGAACACCCGAATTCCCCCCCAAGTAGAAAGCAAATCAGTTTCTGTAATCGGCTAATTGGTAATTCTCCAACTAGCTGGTATCTCATCGGTTTTGCTGGTAGAAACTTACGAGGAAAGCTACATTTCAGCAAGTTTTAGCTCCGATAACTGACTTAATGTAGGAGGCAAATTTCGGGGCAGACATTTGCTCGGACTTCCGCGGGGTCGACGGTGCGACCGATCGGACGTTCTGTTTTGTAAAGAAAAAAAGATATGACTGAGATCGGCGGCCACTTCGTCGTTAAGACGTCGTTAGTGGACCCGGTTTCACACACACAGCTGAGCCCGAGCGAAAGTTCCGCTCCATCGTCATCATCGTAAGTCGATCCTCGAGGCCCCACATAGCGACTCCTCCTCGGCGAATCGACTGAATCTCCAGGAATTCGACTTCTTTACTTTTTCGCGGGTCGGAGAAAGAAGACGGACGCTCGAATCGAGAAACGATCGGAGCGGCGGGAAACGATTAAGATCCACCGGGCGCGTTTGTCAGGAGCGCGCGAAGCACACGGCATGAAGTCCGCTCCGGTGGAAGCGCGCGCCGGCACGCTTTCCTGGGCGTTTCGAATGATTGTGGACGTGGTGTTAGGAAATCGCGAAAACATCTACCCCGCGCGCGAGCGCGTACTCGGTGAATTAATCCCGCGGATATGAATTAGAGAGTTAATTCTCATGCAACTCCCTCCCCCCTCTTCCCCGCTGAAGTGCTCTCTGTGTACAACTAAATGGCACGTTGTCGGCGGACAATACTTTACGCAACACGAGAGAGAAATGATTTCGAAGCGTCAGTTTAATGATTGCCGTGTGTACAAATTGCTGGCCTGACTGTGGCGGGAAAATGAAGGAGCGGAAAAGAGAGAAAGAGAGAGAGAGAGAGAGAGAGAGAAAGACAGAGAATGGTCTCCCGAGATGTGCCTCAAACTAATGAATTAATGATTGACTTACCGCTTTGATATTTTTATCGCACGGCGTTATCTTCCGCGTAGCCAAAATTGATAAATCGCATTCGGCGAAAGGAACAATGAAAACGTACAAGCGAACCGGACGAACTGGTTGGAAACACACCGTGCGGGAAACACAACGTGCAAGTGGATATCACACACATACACGCGCGGAGACGGTATGCAAATATATGTAAGAGTGCGACAAGTGTCAAGGCGCGACAAACGATTTCTACGACAGCGACAAACGCAAACGAGGGCATGCCGCATTTTTTAATAGCTGTGTCCAGTAGCTGAGCAAGGATAAGCGATTGTTCTCCCTGCTCCAGTAAAGATGTTATTGCGTCCTCATCTCCTTCTCTCTCGCTGTTCATGCGACTCCGCGGGACGGTCGCTCTTCTCGCGAGTGCGATGCATACAAAGAGAGAGAGAGAAAACAAAATGCGAGGCGAGTCTTCTTACCATGATCGTTGCATTTATTATTCGTCCGTGCTTCTCCGCAAGCGCGAGCCTGTTAATCAAGAGATCCAGAGGAGGTACGAGTTTTGAAAAAAGATCGGCTTACGATTTATTGTTGATAGCCGCCGGTATCTCGACTTCTTTCCTCTCCCTTCCTCCCTCTCGCTACCTCTATCTCTTTCTCCTTCCCTCTCTTGTTTTACATTACATGACACACTGAAAATTACAGTATACATATACATATTTTACATAATCATTGTTGTATGCCATAAGTAACAAACCAGATTGCGCCGTTGCCATGTAACAATAATCTCTAATATGCGACTACACGTATAGGGAGCACAGGCTTACTAATGTAAACGATCAAAATATATGTATATATATATATATATATAGTCTCGGGTTTTCGCACCGTGTACAGACGCATCGTCTCGCCTCGAAGATCGCTTAGAAAACATTCGAAGTGTGCTGTAATTGTTCTCGCAAAGAGCGAGTTTGTGTGACGATGGGCAAGGTAAGATCGCGATTAAACGATGGATGCTCGTCTCGGCGACAGTCTCGCCGGTCGTTCTCTATTCGTCTCGGTCAATCAATTTCGCTACAGTGTTGCACAATGAGGACGAAGAATGCGAACGTTATCATTAAACATCCAATTTTACGAGGCCTGTTTAAACTGGTACGCCATCGATGTAACAGACATTAATTAAAGTCGACCGCGACTCGACGAACTTTCGGCAGCCAAGAGGGCGTTGGGAAGGTCGATCGAGGATCGATCGAGCTTCAGTTGACTTGAATTAATATTTACGGGAGGAGCGATCCTATATCGAAGAGGTTCTGAACACACGAAGACGTGAATCATGATCGTGTGTATGTGTGCGTGCGCGCTAGTATCGACGCTATTATCATTAATCGCGCACGAATTGCCATTTGCACAGCTTGCGGAAGAGCAGATCCTTTTGATTCACGCGTAATCCTAATGACGTTAATACATTCTTAACGGATGTATATATATTATATATGTATATAGCTAACATCATATTATTATCTGCCAAGCTTTAACGCAGTGTTTCTCAACCAGCGAGACACACTGTAGAAAACAACGTACGGCATAACGCGGGAATGATGGATAAAATAACGGCGTTCGGTAGGAAAAGCAGCGTAGTAAGCGCTTTCTGGCCGGTGCCAGCGGTTTTGCAACTGTTGTGAGATTTCCCGTTGAACGACACTTAGCGATTAACGCTGCTTCAATCGCGGTTATTAGGCGGCCCAGCGTATTAAAAGTACGCCGGATAAAATGGCGACCGGTTTGGTAAACACGTTGCAAAAGCGCAAACCGCCGGTGTCGTTTAGCAGAAAATCTTACGAACGGTTGCTAACCTGCCGGCAGCTCAGCACTTATTAACCCAGACAGCACGTGTCAATCGATACACCGAAGTATAAAGTATATTGTTTTAATATTTACATATGTTGAGTATCGATTCGAAATATTGAGATGGCATAAACACAGTATGTTAAATTAACATACGGGTGTGTGGAAAATTTCACAGAAACGTCTTAACAGGGAGCGATTTTAACAGAAGTATAAAAAATATATATTTTACTGTGTAAAAGTAAGATACAAGTGACGTTCCATCAATGTTATAATTTATATTACAATTCACCGCTCAACAACATAACTGTTACGCACAACGTTGTGCTATATATATAACGCTTATACTGTTGAATGGGAAATTATAATATTGAAGTAACGTTACTGTATTAGCTGACGTTTGGTGGGAAACAGTTCTCTTCCAACTGAAATAATAAAAATACATAATATATACAAATACATAACACGTAAAATACACAATACGAATTGATTGATTAATTCTTCAAGAATTCTTCGGACATTCATTCTTCTCTAATTCTGCACTCCTTAAAATTTATATTTCCGTATTCTTTCTACATTCTCTGAAATTTACTATTCTGCATTCTTCAAAATGAATTCTCTATAAATCTCTGTTCACCTCTGTGCTATTTATCGGATAGCTGCTTTTCCTATCGAACGCAGCCAATACTTCTCGCTTAGGGTCGCAAGTGCTAAACGCGTCGCGTCGAAGATCAGATGTCTCGTCGTTGGGGTTGCGCGTGAAACGCAAACGCGACTGAGAAAAACGCGCGGTCGAATAGCACGTTGAACGATATACCGCTCACACATTGGTAACACAAAACACTTTGAAATCGTAATATTCAAATGTAATTTCGAACAGCCAAAGACCGGTGAACGACGAAACATTGCGCGTGACGCAGAAAACAGTCTCCCCCGGATGCGGTCACTCGGAGCAATAGGATAACTACGAGTTCTAAATCCCACAAAACGGAAGTGGCAACAATGAAGGATTCCGTCTAATCTACACTCGATCACTATCGTGATATCAAGCCATCGAAAGCTTAGTCGTAATATAACACTTACTGATTAATACTTTCTGTAGTCGCGTGGGCGTGAAATTCTCGTTCTATCTATTCGATAGAAATCACACCAAGCAATAAAGTGTGTGTGTGTACTTTACATGTACTTTACAGATTCCTAACAACGGGGGAAACAAAATCCCTCCGATCGCACCTTCGGACAAACTCAAATCGGGAAATATACATATTTCGTTATCAGGATGGTGTAATCTTTCCGGGCGAACTTTCTTGTGAAACGCGAATTTTTCGAGAGTTTCTTTTACAATACATTATAATATAATATGTATGTATGTATATATGTATATATATGTATATATATACATATATACATCTCTCTCTCTCTCTTTCTCTCTCTGAAACACTTTTTCTGCCTATTTATTGTCCTTACAACATAATACTCTTATACTTTCACGAATTTTCATCATTATTGTCAGCGCAGTAATTGATACATTTTCGTAAACACGTTCGATCGTGATACGTGCATTACTATCGTTTAATTACACGACGGAGGATGTACAAATAGAGCGACGACCTATGAATGCCTGTATGTGTACAGCATTGTACATATTGCGTAAGTTATATACATACACTTTACGAGTATATTGTGTGTGTGTATTGTATGTATATATGTATATATATATACGTATGTATATAAATATAT